GCCATTCAATCTTTTCTTCATCTTCGCGCAACTATGTCTTCTTCAAACCCTGATCCTCAGAAGGTTCTTATTGTTGAAGAACTTCCCCTCGCTCCTACTAGAAGCAAGAGAAGAGGTAGGCTACGTAGTTTAGGATCAATTTCCGTTCGAGGTTCTCCTTCTCAACCTAGTCTTACTCCCCCATCATCTTCTAGAACTAGGCCTTCTCTTTCTCATAGGTCTTCTGCTAGAGGTAGGGATTCTGGTGAGCAAATTCGTGAGCCTACTGTAGACAAGATTATTCCTGCTTAACTCTCTTTTTATACTGACAAAGAGTCGATTAGAAACCAGGTCTCCTCTATGTCCTCTCATGATCGTGCCGATGTTTACCCTTCACAGATTACTGAAGGTTTGATCTCTGTTGTTTGTAAAGATTGTCATTGGAAGTTTGATTTCCCAATTCTGATCCCTAATGCAAATCAAAGGATTACTTCTTTCAAAGGTGGCTTTTCTTTTGTGTATACGTACCCCTTTACGTTAGACTTTAGACCCACTATTGATCCAGTCATTATTGAATCTTGCCGCTTCTTCAATGTGTATTTAGGACAAATTGGCCCTATTGTATGGAGGGATGTTGCATGTTTAAGGTATTGGCTAATTTGGCTCAATTGCCTTTCACCTTTTTTCATCTAATCCATCTCTACTCCCCTAAGTTATTCCGTCATGGGATTTTTAAACTGGTGGCGAGGAGTAAGAGAGTTTTAGTCAGCCCTAAGGACGATAAAGATCGTGGCTGGTACGCCTAATTTGTTGCTGCTTCTACGAAAGGGTTAGTAGGTGAAGAAAATATGTCCTTCCCTAAGAAGTGAAATTTTGCACGTAAGTTTTCTTTACAACTTTCTCTTTTTTTTTAAGAGTTTCTACTTCCCGTGACTGTTTCACTTTTCTTTTTCAGCAACCATGGGAACTGTTGAAGAAATTCCCAATTTCCGTGGTTGGGTAGAAAAATTGTTGACAATTGCTCCGATGGAAGTTGGATCTTGGAAGTATCTTTCGAATAGGTTTGGTTTGAAGGTCAAGACTCACGGTAAAATTTTTATTTCCTCCTTTTTCTTTCATTCATACTCTCTTTAGAATTTATTAACCCTTCTTTTTATCAGGGTTTCCTATTCGAGGTGTGAGTGATGAGTCAATCGCAGCTTCTAGACTTTCTTTGGCAAGAGCTCAAGAGATAATCTTGAGTTCTTAATCGAAAAGAAAAGATGATAGACCACAGGATTATGAAGATGAAGAAAAGCGGGATGGAAGCTCTTTAGTGCGTAAGTCGGGGGCTAGAAGGTGTGTCATTTCAGATGACGAAGCTACTCCCCCTCCTCGTTCTGTTTCTGTGATCGAGCCTACTGAAGCTACTTTATTGAGCTCTGATGAAGAGACGCTTGTGGCACCTCAAGACTCTGCTGAACACCTCTTTTCACGTGGTTTTGACAATGAAAGTTTTGACTTGGTTGCTGAGGAAACGCCTCTTGCCTCTTTTCCTGTGTCTGTTCCAATGGAATCCCATGTGCCCGTTCCTACCGTTGCTATATCTGCTCCGCCCGAAGCTATTATAGCCTCTTCGACCGTTCCTGATGCCAATACTTCTCGTAATGAAATTGGTTCTTCAAGTAGTAGCAGGGCAATGAAGCAAGTTACCATTGATGTTCCTGCTGATGGTAATCTTCTGAAAAAGTCAGGCCAGGTTGATGTATGGCTGAAACCCTTAATAGGTCCGATGGAAAAGTCAAAACTTGAAAGTCATAGTTCCTTGACTTGGATGAACGACATTGTACAATCATCATTGAAGGTATAGTCTTCTCTTTTTACCTTATGTAATTTTCCTTTTACTAGTATTTTCACCCTTTTCTCTTTACGTAGATCAATCTCATTGGTACGGAGATGATGAAAAGGGTTTCCCATACGGAGCAGTTAATGCATGACTATCATATTGAGGCTGATAATTGGAAAGAGCAATATGAAAGTCTCCAGGTTGAGATGGAAGATTTAGAGGAGAACAAGTGTACCTTGGAGCAGCAGATAAAAGTCATGGCAGCGGAGCTAGCAGTCGAGAAAGCCTCTTCCAACCAGGCGGACAAGGACAAGCACCTTCTTGAGTCATCTTTTGCTGAATAACTCTCTAAGGCTACTGAAGAGATCA